CTTCTGCTCTGTCCTATTGGATAGCTCCTGAGTCAATATCGATTTGATGGCCGTGATTTGAGTTTCTTGGGATAGACTATATGTTGAGAAGTCATAGCTTTACATTTTTATTGTTTTATAAAGATTTCTATGATTTTTGTTGCAATATATATAAAATTTTAACAGTCATACACATGTTTTCGGTCTGGGGTGTGTGTGTGTGTGTGTGTGTGTGTGTGTGTGTGTGTGTGTGAGAGAGAGGATATTTTCTGTTGTGTCTTTGACATCTTAATGTAGCTGTTAGGGATAGCAGAGGTGGGGTTGTCTAGGCATAGTTAATTTAACTGTTGGGTGGTATAGATGATAGTAGACACTTAGAACAGTTATGGAGGAAGAGTGATAGAGTAAGGGTTAGAACAGGGATTGACAAACGTTTGAGACAGAAGAGTCAATCTTGTGCTTCACAACAATTTAAAAATTATTTGAAAGCATAAATATATTTTTGAAAGCAAATGAAATCACCATTATCTGAATAATACCCTTTAAAAGTTTTACAAATGAAACTTTTATTTTGGTTTTATTTTCTTCTATAATGGTTTTATTTTCGTTCTCAATTTTACTACAGAGCCACATGTACATACCAAAAGAGCAACAGTTTGCCTGGCCTAGGGAAAAGATAAAAGAGTGGAAGGGAAAGTGTTAGAGCAGTGGCTCTCAACCTTCCTAATGTCACAGCCCTTTAATACAGTTGTGGTGACCCACCCCCAACCATAAAATTATTTTCGCTGCTACTTCAGATAACTAATTTTGCTACTGTTATTAATTGGGTGACCCCTGTGAAAGGGTCGTTTGATACTCCCCCCCCCCCAAAGGGGTTGTGACCCACAGGTTGAGAATCTCTGTATTAGAGGAAGGAGAAGAAAAGGGGGTAGGGGCGGGGATCAGGTAGTGCTAATTGCTAGGTTATAGGAAAAGGAAAAAAAAAATTTCTTATTTGACAAGGATGAAAGAAGGGGTATTACTGATTGATGAAGAGAATTGTAAGAGTAGTATGAACTTTTGTCTTGAAGAAAAAGAGAAGGACAAAGATTGAAGAGAAGGGAACAAACAAAGGACGAGCTTTTGGTGTTTGGATTCTGAGCTCTGTCCAGGCGTGTTGTCACTGATGTGGGGAGAGAAAGGTATACTTCCTGGAGAAGAGTGGTGAACCTACTTAGATTCTGGACCTGTGCTTGAAGTACAAAGGATAAGGGTCAGTATGGTAGTTAGGATCAGTGTCAATGATGCCATCTGGTGTAGGGTTCTTGGGATGGCTGGAATATGTTCATGCTTTGCAGTGGCTTGTAGAAGATGGGGTTGAGTGCAATGGCAGGATATGGAGAAATTTCTCAAGGCTGTCCTGGGCTGAGTGGGTGTGAAGTGGGAGTAGGGCTCACACCTTCCAAGAGGAGGGATCTCTGAGAAGCATGGGGTGGAGGCTACAGGACGTTACACCTTTATTGGGATAGCCCAGGGGAGGGAGGGCTTTCAGGTGGTCTAAGTGAGGTACTTTCTGGGAGATGAGAGTATTGCTAACTTGAGGATTGTAGAAGTGATGAGAAATATTTTTGTTAAGAAGATGAGTAGTGCTGATTAAGAAAGAATTAGGAAATAGCACAGGAGAGGAAAAGAAAAACAGTTGGGGGTCTAAACTCTGTCCTGAGAGGGATCAAGATTGTATAGGGCGGAGATCATTTGAGCAATTGGAAGCAGTACCTAGGAGTGAGTGTCTCAGCACTTTTAAGTGTTTAGACTGGTAGGGCTAGGTTGAGGAGTTTGGGACAAGATGGCTTCTGGAGCGAAGAGACCGAAATGCCTGTAGAGCAGCAGTACTCAACCTGTGGGTCGCGACCCCTTTGGGGGGGTCAAATGACCCTTGCACAGGGGTCTCTTAAGACCATTGGAAAACACATAAATATTTCACAATATATAATTACATACACTATTGTGATTAATCACTATATTTTAATTAAGTTTATGTTGTATTTGTGACAATGAAAATGCATCCTGCATATTAAGATATTTACATTACGATTCATAACAGCAAAATTACACTTACGAAGTAGCAACAGAAATAATTATCGTTGGAGGTCACTACAACATGAGGAACTGTATTAAAGGGTCGCAACATTAGGAAGATTGAGAACCACTGTTATAGAGTGAGGCTAAAATTGTAGCTGGCTGTCTTAAAGGAATAAGAAGTCAGGCGGCCCAGGTCTGAGTAGGTGGTGCCGGTTGCCCAGTGGGGCAGGAATGGAAGAAAGGGAGTTGTACCTGGTACCTTCTTAGGTAGCCCAGTGGGCAGAAGGAGCAAAAGCCTTCTTAGAGGGCACATTGTTGCTCTGGAAAGTCTGGAGTGGTCTAATTAGGGTGCTGACTGGGGACTGGGGTTGTAGGGGGCCTGTGGTACATAAGGCTAGCAGGCTGGGATGCAGGGCAGTTACTAGTGCCTTAGAGCGCTGTCAGAGGTGTTGTAGCCTACCTACCTTTATCAGCTGAAGGGCACTCCTCAGTCCAGGGGCACATATATTATGGGGTATTTGACTGCCAAAAGGTGCCCACCAGTGAAGGGGACTGAGTAGGGTATGTGGGCGGTCTGGAGGCCAGGTGTATGGAGTATACACCAGCTAGGGAGTTACAGTGGCCTCTTAGGTCTACTGTGCAATTGGGCGGGTTGACCCAGTGGGAGGAAGGGCTAGGTATCTCCCCTTCTGGAACTCTGGAATTCCCACCATTCCTGGACTTAGGAGTGGAGCTTGGGTCACTTAAGAATTGGGTTGATGTGTGGACTGCTTGTGCCTCGCTCATTCCTGGATGGTTTTGTTGTTGTTGTTGTTGTTGTTGTTGTTGTTGTTGTTGTTTTTCTTGCTTCTTGGAGAGGGTTTCACTGTCCATGTGATCAGTTGGCTGTCTTCCACATGTTGTTTTAGATGGTTATTTTACATCAAATACATTGTTCTAATTTTATCTTTAATTTCTGGCTTCATCCCAGCTTCAAATCTTTATTTCTTGGAAAATATTTTACAGCTCACAAACTTTTTAAGCATAAGATAACATTATTTCACCTGGTAAGATTTAAAATAAGTATATTTTAATGATTGTCTTGCTTTGTGAAAATCTTCAGTTGCTACATTAGGCAGATGTTTAATTTCTTCTGCACTCTCCCTAATGGCCATTTCTGTTTGGCTGTGCTTTTTATCACCCTTCCAAGGTTCTGGCTCAGATAACTTTTCAGTACTCAAAAAAATGGGAAAGAAACATTATCTGGAATAATTGATGGTGGCTGTAACAATGAATTGAAGCATAGCAGTAGTTGTGAATGGTGTGCAATTGGGCAGCATTTCTTTCTGTTATATATAAGGTTGCTATGAGTTGAAATCAACTCCACAGCACCTGATATCAACAGGTGTTTGGAGACTTCTTAATCTAGTTTTCCACGATCGAACGATTTTTAACATCTTAAAAGACATGGTTAGCCTTCTTTAAGAAAAGATATTTGAAAATTGCATTTTTCATGGTTGTCTGTGTTTTTAGCCTTCTGGCTTTAAAAACAAACAAACAAACAAACCTTAAAACGAATTGCTTGTTTTTAGAATTGTTTAAAATTGCTTTTGCAAACGTTAGAAGTATGTGGGTAAGTAAAAAATATTGCTATAAAATAATAGAAATCTTTAGTAAATAAAATAGCAAAGTATGATGCCATTCATTGCGTTTCAGTACACCCTCTAGGTCTATATTCTTCTTAAGGCAGTGTTTCCATCTGTAACCCCCTAAGAATTTTGCACTCTCCAATTTATACTACATCAAAACTGCAGTTTTGGCATCCACAAGGGACTCAAATTAAGTTCCTTTCCAGTGTTCTTTGAATCTTGGAAAGTGAGCAAAATTTGTAGGGTGTTTGAGGAGATTTCCCAACTAAATTCTAGGACAACCTTTACTTGCCTATCTTCAAAGAAAGCATTGTCAAGATAGGAAAAAAATGTATTGGTTCAACATTTCCCATCCCCGTTAAGGCAGTTTTAATTTTCTTCAAAATTATTTCATAATTTCCCATAATTGTCTTGTGGGGTTTTTGGGAGAAATTTTACCAAGATTAACCAAAAATCCCAAAACAATTGCTGTAATCTTCTGTGCCGTGAATTTAAGTGCTCTAAGATCCTCTCAGAAACTATTGTTTTATTGAACTTAAGTTTTTGTTTTGTTTTGTTTTTAATCGAGAGACTAAGACAATGATATTACTGAAAAAAACTTATCTAGAGCTATCCACTTACTGCAGAGATGTGTTTAACCATGTTTTTCTGGACTAGACTCAGGCATTTATAAATTGTAATCCTAGTAACAAAATTTTGTGTATGATTGTTTTCCATTGGTGCATGTTTATAGTTTGCATTTTGTCTCCTAATTAACAGATACTAATTTTGTAGTACAAATAAACCTGTAAAATCTAATTTTAGGCCTTTTTTGTCCAAAAGTAAAAGTATTATGACTTTTCCTTCTTAAAAAAGAAAGAAAGAATTTGCTTGATGGCAGTGAGTTCATTGTTGTGTGCGGCGGGGTTCTTGAGTAAAATGAACTTGTGCTGGCTGTAGACCACTGGAAAATCCTGATGTATCCAGTAATGTAGATTGAACCGATTAAAAGACCTTTTTTAGTTAAGAAACAATATATGTTTACTGTATATGTTTTATGAAAAGTGGCATGTAATGAAGAAGAAATAGCTTATTTGTAAGGAAAAAAGCATGTTTATGGATATATATTTAAATTCATACTTAAATAAAATTGGGGTTACTGTATTTATTTGTGTATAAGGTGAGTTTTTCCACACATTTTTAATGCAGTTTTTGTGCTAAAGTTAGGTGCCTCGGCTGATTGTCGATCGGTTTATACTGGAGTATATGTGGTATGTAGATTCAGATATGGATTCTAATTGAAAAAGCGTGAACACAATTTTTAATTTCTTTTTGTTTTTTAAATTTTTACAGGACCTTTCACAGATGTAGTCACTACCAATCTTAAATTGAGAAACCCATCGGATAGAAAGGTGTGTTTCAAAGTGAAGACCACGGCGCCTCGTCGGTACTGTGTGCGGCCCAACAGTGGGATTGTTGACCCCGGGGCAGCTGTAACTGTTTCAGGTAGCGAATCCTGTTCTTAGTTTCTGCTCTGGCATTTTATGCTTTGTTTCATTTACTTGTTAACTAGTAGGATTTAATTAGAGAAAAAGAAATGAATCTGTATATCACTTAGCTTTTAATGGTGTTCTCCTGTTGCCCTCTCATAAGCAAGCGACCTGACCGAAAAAAATTTCACCTTCATCTTAAATCTTTCTGATCAGTTTACAAGTAATTCTCTTTGGGCAAAATATTTAACCACAGTTTCTGCCCTTATTTTGTCTTTGAGACACTGTGCCATATTTTTGCCAGATGTCATTCAGATCTCTAGCTTCCTATGTATCACATGCAGTTCTTTTACTTAAAAATTAACAGTATTGCCTTGATTGCCTAGTGTATCTTTCTGCTCTTCATTTATTGTAAATGAAAGTATCCTGCACTTGAAAACCTTATTTTTAGTGCATCCTTAGTGTTTGCTTGTAGGTGAAGTATTCTTGATTCCTCCCACTCCTGCTGTGAAGTCTGTGCTCGTAACAGGTTACAAACCATTCTTCCTTCCCTTGACAAGCCCAAGACATAACTAGATCACCTCCCCTAGTTGAGAAAGAGGAATCCAGTATGAGCAAGTTTGTTGTATGCAGAGACCAGTTATTCTTATTTTCGGGCTGTAGTTCTCATTTCCCAGTCTGTCCTAATAAGGGTCCATGAAATGTCGATTGAACCTCTCCCAGATCAGAATTTCTGAGAGCATGGTCTTGACAGGACTATGTTTAAAAAAGGACAACCTGCCTGGATGGATAATCATGATGAGAGCACCTAAGATACTATACTTTGTATCAGTTTCTGGTTGTCAAGTCCACAACAGGCAGAAAATTCACAGACTAGAGCAGGGTCCCATTGAGCATATGTAGAAATAACCTGCAAAGGCAATAAAAGACTTCAAGTTATTGATGACAGTGAGTCCTCCCTCAGGGTATGTAGCTAAAGCCTCAGAGCTAGCTAGAAAAGATGTGTCTCGGTGAGCTTTGAGGAATGCTTCATATTTGTTAAGTTATGATACCTTAGTGCACCTCAGCTGTCCTGGGGAAAACTTGATAACAATAAGGTATTCTCTAAGTCTAAGCTGGCAGAAGATAGAGCTACATTTAGCTCTATGATTAAAAACTGTTTTTAGGTCAGTTACATCTCTAGAAATACATAAAACTAGTAGGATGGCTTTTTTTTTTGAGGGTTCTGGACCGTTTAAATTTTACTTTTTTACTATTTTCTAAGAAATGCTGTACATTTAAAAATACTTTGTCTAACACCAACCCTTTATATTGAACCTCTGACTTTTAAAATAGGAATGATAAACAGAGAAAACAATGTAATGTGTTCTTTCTTCTTCAGTAATGCTACAGCCTTTTGACTATGATCCAAATGAGAAGAGTAAACATAAGTTTATGGTACAGACAATTTTTGCTCCACCAAACACTTCAGATATGGAAGCTGTGGTAAGTGTAGAGTTTGGACCAAATTTATTTGGGGAAATACTGTTTAAATTGTGTATTTTATTTACCCCTCATAGAGAAAACTAATTTTGAAATCGTATTTTTCAAAAATGACTTAGAAATGCCACCATTAAGAAGACAGGCCTCTAATCTCTAGAAATGTTAATGTGATTTTAAGAGACTATTAATTGCTCTTTTTCGTATTACTGATTAATATTGTAATTGCCTCAGAGTGGAGCAGTAAGTCCTCACTGAGCCATATGGACTCTTCCTCACCGCTCCTACTAATCCCGTGTCTCACATACAGTTTTGTTTGTTTCTAGTGGAAAGAGGCAAAGCCTGATGAATTAATGGATTCTAAATTGAGATGTGTATTTGAAATGCCCAATGAAAATGATAAATTGGTAAGTAAAAAATCTATCATCATAAGGAAAATAGGAGCTGTTAATTCTAGATTAGCTTAAAATTCGTTTTGGTTCTGTGTTTGGCTTTAGAGGATGTGTAATACGGCTGTTTTCATTTTACAAGACTCGGTGTTTAACCTAAGTTTACTATCTTACTTTGCTCTTTTATTTTATAGCATTTTGTGTATCCAAGAAGAAACACTGTATATTGAAGGAAGAATCTTTTAATTCTGTGGAATTTCTACTGCTAAACACTTAAAAGATTCTTGTTTTGTTTTTGATACATAGGAGGGAGCTTAAAGAAGTTAATTAAAAAATTCCTTATCTGTTTTACTTCTCAATGTAAACTACATGAATTTCACTATATTTTAATTTCATTTTTAAAGCCCCATGGTACATACGAGGGGCAACACACACACACACACACACACACACACACACACACACCCAAAACAGGAAAACTTCTGCTAGGTGGAGCTTTCATAGTACACGGTTTTCCACTAGGCAAGTATGCAGCAACTTATTCTGCGTTAGTTCACCCAGTGATGTCGCCTGGTAATATTCTCTCTGGTTACAGTGAATTTTTTTCGTAAAAGCAGGTTTGTGCCAACCTTGTTTTTTTGTGATGGCTGATTTAAGAGAAGAGCGTATGGCTTTGAAATTTTGTTTCCTGCTTGGGCAAAATGTCGCAGAAACTGTTAGGATGATAAACACAGCTTAGCTATGGGGAAAACTTAAGTGTACGTTGATTTTCTCGTTCCAAAAACGGTGAAATGTTGATTGATGACAAACTTCGTTCTGGATGTCTATCAACTTCCGAATGGACGGAAATGTCTACACAATTTGTGCTTGAAGACCATTAAAGAGATGGGGAAGTTATCTGGACTATCTTGGAGCTTGGTTCAGTGCATTTCAACAAAAGAGATGGGAATGAGAAAGGTCACTGCGGAATTTGTGCCGCAGGTTCTGACTGACCAAGGAAAAAGCGTTGTGTAGAAATATGCTTTGAAAGAATAATTCCGAAGCGACTAGACATTTTCCCCCCAGGTCATTACTGGAGATGAGATATGGTGCTATTCTTAGGACACTGAAAGTAGCCATCAATGAAGCGAGTGCAAGACGCCATTGTCACCTCAACCCAAAAAAGCTCAAGTGCAGTCAAAGATCAAGACAATGCTCATTTGGTGTTTTTTTTATTTTTATTTTTTATGTGAGGCAGGTGGTGTATTTGGAGTTTCTTCTAACAGGTCAGACTGTTAGTCAAGCTTTCTATTTAGAGGTTCTGAAAAGATTGCTTAATGGTGTGCATCATAAAGGGCCTGATTTGTGGCAGATGGGGACTGGTTTTGCCACCAAGACAATGCACCTGCTCATGCAGCCATCTCGGTGTGCCAGTTTGGGCAAAACATAGAAAGCATGCCTCTCTTGCCCCACATACCTTACCTGACCTCCCTCTGTGCGATTTCTTCTTTGCATCTGCAAATGAAGAGGGACATGAACAGACAGCAATTTGACAACATAGAAGAGGTGAAGAAAGAAAGGGGGGGGGTTTGTCAGCCATCCAAACAGATGAGTTTGAAAAAATGTTTCCAAGAATGGAATCACAGATTTGATAGATACATTAAGCGTATTGTAGAGTACTTTGAAGGTGATAGGTTGTTTTGTAAAAAAAAGTTAAATACATAACTTTGGAAAAGTTCCGGATTTGGGGGGGTGCCCCTCATATGTACATATGGTATTTTGGTTAAATGGGTTCCAGCCCATAGTGACCATATGCCCAACAGAGTGAAACACTGCCCTGTCCTGTGCCATCCTCGGTTATTTCTATGCCTACGCCCATTGTTGCAGACACTATCAATCCTTCTAATTGAGGACCTTCCTCTTTTTCACTGCCCCCCCCCCCCCATTTTACCAAGCATGATGTCCTGGTTTTTCCTGAAAAGTCCACAGTATGTGTGTAACACAGGGTCTTGCCATCCTTCTCTACAAAGCACCCTGGTTATGTTTCTGCTAAGACCTTTGTCTTTTTGATAGGCCATGTTACTTTCATTATTTTTCTCCAGCACTGCAATTCAGATGCATCAATTTTTCAGTCTTCCTTATTCATTGTCCACCTTTCACATGCAGATGATGCAATGGAGTATACTCCATGGCTTGGGTCAGACACACTTTAGTCCTCAAAGTAACATCCATACTTTTCAGTACTCTGAATAGGTCTTGTGCAGCAGATTTACCTAAAGCAAATCATCCTTTGATCTCTTGACTGTTGCTTTCATGGGCATTGATTGTGGACCCAAACTCGGAGGCAATTTCAACTTTTTTCCATTTGTCATAAAGTTACCTGTTGGTCCAGTTTTGAGGCTTTGGGTCTTCCTTGAGTTGTAATCCAATTCTAAAGGCTGCAATCCTTGCTCTTCATAAGCAAGTGCTTCAAGTCCTCCTCACTTTCAGTAAGCAAGATTGTATCACATGCATATTGCAGGTAAATAAACCTCCCTCCAAACCTGATGCCACAATCTTCCTCTCTTAATCCAGCTTCTCTGATGATTTGCTCAGCATGCAGATTAAGTATCCCAAGAGGATACCACTCTGTTGTATACCTTTCATGAGTTTTAACCATGCAGTATTGCCTGGTTCTTTTCACACAACTGCCTCTAGATGCAGATACAAGTTCCTCACGTGTACAATGAAGTGTTCTGGAATTCCCACTCTTAAGGTTATACATAGTGTATTATGAGCCACACAATTCAATGCTTTGACATATTCAGTAAGACAAAAGTAAACATCTTTCTGGAATTCTCTGCTTTGAGCCAGGATCCATCTCACATCAGCAATGCTATCTCTTGTTCCATGTCCTCTTCTGAATCCGGCTTGAATCTCTGGTAGCACCCTGTCAATGTACTGCTGCAACTGTTGTTCAGTGATCTTCAGGAAAATTTCACTTACATGTGATATCAAGGATATTCTATAATTTGAGCATTCTATTGGGTCATCTTTCTTTGGAATGAGCACAAATATGGATCTCTTCCAGTTGGCCATCTTCCAAATTTCCTGTCATGGATAAATAAGTGCTTCCAATTCTTCATCGGCTATTGAAAAATATTAATTGGTATTCCATCAGTTCCTGGTAACCTTGTTTTTGGCGAATGCTTTCATTGCAGCTTGCACTCCTTCAGTTCTTGCTCATAATACTACCTCCTGAGATGGTGGGATGGTGACTTTCTTTTTGGTACTATGACTGTATTCTCTCCATCTTCTTTTGGTGTTCCTTTGTCGTTCAATATTTTGCCCATAGAATCGTTCAAGATTCCAGTTTGAGGCTTGAAGGGGTTTTTTTCGTTTTGTTTTTATAACACTAGGTCTTTGCATATTTTAAAAAAATCATTTTATTGGGGGCTCATAACAATCCATAGGTCAATTGTATCAAGCACATTTGTACATATGTTGCCATCATCATTTTCAAAACATTTTCTTACTACTTGGTATCAGTTCCTCTTTTTTCCACTCCCTCCCCCACCCTCGTAAACCTATGATAATCTATAAATTATTTTTATTTTCATTTCTTACCACCATTCGCTGTCTCCCTTCACCCATGTTTCTGTTGTCCATCCACCGAGGGAGGGGAGGGGTGTTGTATGTCAATCATTGTGATTGGTTCCCCCTTTCTCCCCTCATCTTCCCCCTAACCTCATAGTTTCGCTACTCTCAATATTGATCCTAAGGGGTTTATCTGTCCTGGATATTGAGAGCTCTTACCTGTACCAGTGTACATGCTCAGATCTGGCCAGATATGTAAGATAGAACTTGGGTCATGATAGTAGGGGGAAGGAAGCATTAGAGAGCTAGAAGAATGTTCTGTGTTTCGTCGATACTGTACTGCACCCAGGCTTGCCGGTCCCTTCTTTATGAGCCTTCTGTGAGTGGGGTGTCCAGTTGTCTACAGATGGACTTTTGGTCTCCATTCTCTGCCCCTTCGTTCACATCAAAATGGTTTGTTTTGGGTCTTCTCATGCCTGATACCTGATCCCATCGACACCTTGTGATCACAGAGATTAGTGTGCTTCTTTCATGTGGGCTATGTTGCTACCCTGCTAGATGGCCACTTGTTTAACTTCAAGCCTTTAAGACTCAGACACTATATCTTGTAATAGCCGGGCACCATCAACTTTCTTCACCACCTTGGCTTGTGCACCCATTTTGTCTTCGGCGATCCTGTCTGGAAGGTGAGCATCACATAATGCCAGGTTATTAGAACAAAGTGTTCTTGCATTGAGGGAGTACTCGAGTAGAGGCCCGTTGTGTGTCTGCTGCCTTAATACTTAACCTATAAATATATGTTCATAGACCTATATCCCTGTCGTTACTCATTTCATTATAATAATTGGACTTTGTTTTTTCAAGCTGCCCTTTGAAATTTTCTCTTTAGCGCTTTAATTTTATCCTTCCATTTGCTTTAGCTGATTAAAATTAAGAGCAAGTTTCAGAGTTTCTTGATAGTTTTTTTTCTATCTTTTTAATGACCTTTTGCTTTCTTCATTAATGATGGTCTTTATATCCTCCCACAGCTCATCATGTCTTCTCTCATAGTATTCTTTGCCTCAAATCTGTTCTGGAGATGCGCTCAAAACTTGGGTTGGGGGTAGACTCAAGGGTATAGCTTGGCTCTTGTGGACTTCTTTTAATTTTCTTCATAAGGGACAGCCCAGACTTAACCATAAAAGTGCTTTTAGGGCTTCTTGTAGAGCTTTAAATGGAGTCCCCCAAATTCCTACATAAAGGAACATAAACAAATAGTTTGGGACTGGAAACTCTTCAGAGCTGGTATTATTGGTAAACTAAAGACTTTTCATTAGATAATATCTGATTTTGAGCATGGAAGATGTAGCCACAGACTGTGAACTTCTAATTAAACTTTTTGAACTCATGGAATAATTACTGTCCCGGTTTTAGGGAACATCTCCTAAAGATAATGTTGGTTTGTCTGTTTTTAGGCATTTGAT